GTACAGTTGTTTACATATGTTTTGACTTTGTTTTTATCAAAATTTTTCAAGGTGAAACTTCTTATCAACTGTGGATACTAGTTTTTTTTTTTTTTTAAATGATTAAGGTGTTTCTAAATTAGATTTTATGTACTCAAAATTAATATATTTTTGAACAATTTTAAAAGTACATTCAATCACTACAAAAGAAAAAAAAATGCTTTTAATGACATATTTTGTTACGATGGTTTACACTAAAATTATATTTGTGGCGTTCTCTACTATGACAATTTGTGCTGAAAAGAGCTAAAAAAGGGCTATGCAAGTGAGCATTTTTTTTTAGTGGAATCGTCACGTGAATCCTCCTAACAATACTTAACTACCAAAATAAAAAATTCCAGGTTTCGTAGGTCCTTTCTTAGCCATGTTGGGGTAATTGGTCCTAGGAATAATTACAATATAAAAGCTGGCTAAAACCAACTTTTAACTCTTCACCTTATAAAATTGATAGATTTTAACTTCTAACCTTATAATGTAACAACTTTAGATCTTTACCTTATAAAGTTAGTAAGTTTTAATCTCTCATCTTATAAAGTTGGTAGGTTTTAGCCCCTTACCTTATATTATAACACTTTTAGTCCCTTATCCGTATGAATTGAAAAAAATAATCCTCATTTAACATCATATTATAATGTTCTGTTAGTTCTATTAGTTAACTGTAAATTATGCTAACTGATTGTAAATTCTGCTAACTGATTGTAAATTCTGCTAACTGACTGTTAACATCCATTTGCATTTCGTTAATGGAACTAACAAATAAGATTGAATTTACATTTAATGTTTTCTATAATGGAATGCTAACGGATGTTAACAGTTAGTTAACAAAATTAATAAAACACTATAACCTGATGTTAAGTGAGAGTTATTTTCTTCAATTCGTATAAGTGGGGGGCTAAAAATATCATAATATAAAGTGAAAGGTTAAAACTTACTAACTTTGTAAGGCGAGGGGTTAAAACCTACAAATTTTGTAAGATAAAGGATTAAAAATGTATGTTATAAGTTGAGGGGTTAAAACCTACCAATTTTATAAGGTAAGGGGCTAAATGTTGGTTTTTGCCTATAAAAGCCAGAGCAGTGCCAGCCTTGTGCAAACAATATTACCATCAGCAGATTCTTCTTCATTCCTAGATGGATTCTGTTCTGGTAATTAAGTTTTTATTGTTGGGTCTAATCCATATGCTTTTCATCCATGGAAACAGGTGCTGCTTTGAAGAGGAGAAGGCGGCTCTTCTGGAATTCAAGGCCTTTGTCAAATCGGATGGTTACGATGCAGACCAACTTCTTCCTTCATGGGATAATGACCCTGCGCATAAGAGTTGTTGTAAATGGGAGAGGGTCGGTTGTGACTCCACCACAGGCCATGTGATCAAGCTCAACCTCAGCAATACCAGGCAGTTTGATGTACCCCCATATAGCGAAGATGACCCCCAAAACTGGCATTTAAACCTCTCCTTGTTTCAACCATTTAAGGAGCTAAGGAGTCTCAATTTATCCTTCAATGGAATTTCTAGGATACAGAACAAAGGTACGCTTGTTATGTAATTTTTCCTTTTAATTTGCAATAATCTTACTGTAGTAGCTACTAGTTAGATTGAGTCAGATTAAGAACTCCCCAAACAATACAAGCTCTTTAGAATTTGATTTTTGTCTCTTTTGCCAATAAGGAAAAATTGTTTACATGCAGGGTTGTCATCAGTTTTTGAAAACTTAGAAGTCTTGGATTTAAGATCCAACATCCTAAATGGCTCAGCAACACAAGGTACACGAATCAATAATTCTAAATTCTTTGACCCTGCACCTTAACTTGGACTAAATGAGTTTTCCTTGCTACTTCCTTCAATTTCTGTGGAAATAATACTATCCCTATATATGACATTAGTCTCATCAACATCACAACATGAGTCCATATATTCACTGCCACTTACAATAAAGGGAAGACAAAGTTGAAACCATTATAAACATTCGAAAAATATTACACTGTTGCATGCATGCATCACTTTGTGGCCAGTTGTTTGACAAATAATAAATAATTATTCCATGCTTAATTATAAGAGTTAATTTGATATTTTGTAATCTAAGATTCTAAATTGTATTAAATTGTAAAATATTAATTATTAAATAAGAAAAATATGCACTCATCATTAGAATCCTTCATCATTTAACAATTAATATTTTACAAAGGATAATGATTGGTGCACACCCGGATCTCACACCCAGGTGTGCACCCCCACATAAAAAAACAAAGTTGGACTGAGTGATGGATATTTTTTTTTTTTTGTTTACATAAAATTGTGTAAATGCTAAAAAAAAACATAAAAAATAAAATATCTCAAATTTATATGCTGAT